TGGTGCAGACATAACATAATAAATGTAAACACGTATGTAACAATATAAAATAATACAATAATATTTTTTAACATATTAAATTTGATGCCCAACACTTAATCTTCATCATGCATCTAACCTCAGAACACTTCATCTCCACCTTCAATTTTACCCTTTCGTTGATATTACGACCACAGAGGACTCCAACCCCATCTTTAAATGAGCATTTTAATAGGCGGAAAGGTATCTTTTGTTCCTTGGTAGGAAAAAGGAAGGGAAAAAATGATTTATCAATTGACGTGGCTAACCAATATTTTGTGCTGCATTAGATATGAATTATGATGTGAAAATATCAAATGCTCAAAAAGATAGCAATTGGTGTGGATGCCTGCCCTTCAGGGGGAGTGATGGGGTGGGGAATTTTCCTCCACCTTGCACTCTTAAATGGGCATGTCCCCTATTTTTATTAATTAAATATAAATTATATAATTAATACATTTATTTTTTCCATGTTTTGTTAGGTTAAATTATTATTACTAGTAGTGATATTAGTTTTTTCTAACAATAGTAACATTAGTAGTAGTAATGATATCATTAGTCTTTTTTAAATAATAAAGAGGTGCTAAGAGAAAGAAAAAAGAAAAATTTGCCAAAAAGGGGAATAAAAAGGCATACCCATGAGCACTTATGGGAAACGGACAGGGGCAAAGGGCGGGGCAGGAGTGGGGGAGATATATGGCAATGTCTCCCCAATCTCTAATCCACCCCGTTGCTATCCCTAAATATTCATGTTCATCTATATGTCAAGTTTTTTAATTTGTGGGGCAATTCAAAATTGAATAAAATTTTTTTGATACTAAACCTCTTGGTCAATTTAATCAATCAAATCAAATACAGAATATTATATTTTATTCAGAAAAAAACTTAGATGGTCAAAATTAGTTTTTGATGCACTTATTTGTAATGATGTTCACTTGTTCTCGTAAAATATTAGACAATTCTATTGGTATCTCCCCTCTATAAACACCTCAACCCTAACCATCATTGCTACTTTTCAGTCGGTAGCCCCTACTACTATTGCTGTTGCATCAATTTGAGCACTTAGTTGCTTCTTTCTCTTTACATTCCTTCTGTCTTGCCACACTACCATCACCACATATTTAGGTCCTTTCACTGTTCTCATCTTTGGCCGGTTTTGACTGTAAATCATTCTTTGAAAAGCTCAACTCCATGGTTGGTAAGAAGTCATTTCATAGAAGTCTCAAACCCAGGGAGTTATGGTGGTTGCCTTTCTTTGAAAAGCTAAAAAATCGTTACCTTTCTTGCATAAAGTTTTTCCCCGAGTTAAGAGTATTCTAAATCAAATATTCATAACATCAAGCCAAGAACCATGTCCCGTCTTTAAAGCAAATTTATGTGTTATATGAATCCCTACTTGATTCTTTTATTTGTTGCAACTTGCTATTAATTGTGTAGTGAATCCTTTGTCATAATTTATTTTTGTTTTGTCTCATACACGTAATTTTGAATCTTTGGTAAAGAAAAAATCAAATATAACAGAAGAATTTATTTCCCATCTAAGATGAGAGTTCCAAAAAAAAAAGAAAAGAATTCTCCATGTCCGCTATTCGAGTAACCTCTCTCCGGCGATCAGTGCTGCCGCGCTCAAGTAGAAGAACATAATACTAGCCAAAGATTTGATATTTAAACTCGTGATGCCTACCGAAGCAACCAAAGACAACCAGTTGAGAAGCGAATGAATGCCTGGACCGATTTCCATGTGCATAACCTTGAAGCATTGGGTAGTGCTGTAATAATACAACATGATAATTTCTCCAGTGATTATCAGCATGCTAAATAGCAGAGTTATTCCATTCATCGTATAGCGGCCTATATGGTTGAGACTCAGCTGATTGAAACATGCTAGCGCTCCAACGGTGCAAATCATCATCGGGAACCACCATATCTCTCGGGGATTCTGAAAAGGTTTTTTGGTTTTAAGGGATCGATAGAGGTTTTCCGCCGGCACTGCACATTTTTCCAATAGATCGATTGAGGACTCCGTTAGCCATGTTTAGGTAATAACAAAGAGAAGAAAAGAAAGAGAGGCTAGGGAGTTAAGAGATGATGAGACGAAGAGTGAAGAGATGCTGGGGAGAGAAGCTGGTCTGGATCTGCTCTCGCTGGCTGCATTATAAAGACACATGTCCAGGGAAATTTATTTGGTTCATTCGATGTGGAAAGTTCCCTTTTCTACCTACAGTAGGCAGAAGCAATGCAAGGAGACCAACTGTGTTATGTGGGGACACACAAAGACAAACAGCAAAAAGATGTACTAGGCACTGGCCGATTGTGCGAGGGTGAAATGATGCAATACATTTTGAAATTACAACAAAAGCTCTCTTAAAAATTTGTTCATCATCTAATGCCCCATACTTATATTTGATAAATTAAAATAGTTAATTAAATATTCTATTATAATATGAATAACTATATATGTGACGATCCCACCTCCCCCTAGAGCGTACCCTAGGATTTAGTGGACTGTCTGCCCAACTCTCGTCAGGACTCGCTCACGTACCTTAAGAAAATAATTTACAACCATAGAAAGGAAATGAAACAACAAATCCCAAGTTTAGAATATTCATTAATGCTTAAATTCAGTTCCAAGGCTCATACATACCCAAATATATCAAAATATTTAAAATTCAGGTACATTCAATCCTAGTCGGGTACTAGCGCGAGTACAATCGCAAAAAGTCAAAAAACTAGACACTGCTAGTCTGTACCAATCCTTACGCCCTCACTCGTACCTCCTGTAAGGAAAACAAAAACTAATAGAGTGAGTTAAAACTTAATGAGGTTCCAAAACATCATGCAAACCCAAATAGCAAGTTGACCATGATTTAAAAACATAAGTATCAAAATAGCGAGCATATAAAGTCAAGAAAATGAGCGATAACACTTCATAAAACCAATCACTGGATATTTACCATTTTCAAGTAAAGGATACAACCGTTATTGCAAAATAGCTCCGCCATAACTTGATCAAGTAGTAGTTGACACTCCGTCAACTTTTCAGTAAAATAACCAGTTCAATAGTGCCCCACTTAACGCCAATCTCCATCCATTATTCAACCCACTTACCAGGTCCGAACGCCAAGATAAACACATGTGGTAATATTCGAGCATACTGATTAGTCGAGAAGATAACACTCCACTCGACAAAACAAGAGACCCAGGGTTCGTTACCTAATCGACCAAACCCTTGCCGGCTCGACTCGAATAACTAGCCACAAGGTTTCTGGAATTGCAGAGAGTGCTCACGTCATACACAAGTATATCAAATCAATTGCATTCAATGCACAGTAACAAGTTACTTTTAGGGCAAGTGCGATAAAGTACACTCTTACCCGTCCAAACAAGTCAAATATCGTCAAGTCAAATCACATTGGTAAAACATGTAAAAACAAGTATCGAGTACAATCATGCACTTGGAAGACTCCACTCGAAACGCCCCCTGCTGTGTTGCGCGTAAAAGCGACCTTTCCCCTGCGGCCACGGAAGAAAGGAGCCAGGCAGTCGCTCTGCAGTTGCCCTTGTGTACCCAACAAAAAAATAAAAAAAGAAGAAGATAGAAGATAGAGATCTTTTGTTCCATTCATTCATTGTAGGAAGGGGTTTACCGAAATATTGAGAGAGGAACCGCTTAATTTTCAGCAGCGTAGATTAGTTCCTGGAGTTCGTGTTGGCTGAAGTTGAAAAAAAGGAGGCAAGGTTTCGAGTGTCTTCCATTGCTGCAGAGGATAGAAGGAATCAAAGATGGGCTGTGCTTCGGTTAATAGAGTCTTAAATGCTCTAGAGCATGTGGCAAAAGATCTGGACGTAGAATCTCATCTGGGCGGGGCTGAGGACGGATCTAAGACTTGTGAGAACATTTGTTTTGTGTGCTCGGAAGTACTGGAGGAGCAGCAATCGTTTGATCAGTTGGGAATCTCTTGGATCTTTCATGCGCAGCATATTTCTCTACTTTAAATCTGATGAAAATGCATGTCTTGGATCTCTGTTGCATAGCCTTGAAGATGCAGTTAACCGATTAGGAAGGGAGTTGGACTCCATTCGTCTTGGAGTAGAGGAACGATTCTATCCACGATCTCACATGAAAGCTTATTTTATTGGGATGGTGGAAGATTTTCGGGGAAGCTTGTGGTCTTTCACACAAAAAATCAACGAATCCTATTCCAACATCACTGCGTTGGGTTACTCCTTGCAATCCAGAGACGAACTTAGGGAATTCATTGACCTGCTGTTGGCAAATATGGAAGATCTTCTCGACTTGGGCAATGTCTACCTGGGAACTCTGATCTCATACATTAAAGAGAAGCTAGAATTCTTCAAACGATTCATTCTCTTTGCAGAATTGAAAGGGTTTCAGCACGGGCAGTTGAAGGTTCTCTTGACTCATTTGGAACTTGTGGCAGTCAATGCAGCAGCAAGCGTCTTTTTCATTTCCACAGGTCGCAAAAGGGATGTGACCGTGCGTGGCGAAATGAAAACAAAGATTTCTGGGGTGCTGGCAAAAGTCATGTCTGTTGAACCCCAGATGCTTGAGAGTTACATCAAAGTCTTGACAGCTACAGACTGGAAAAGATCATCCAACATTCTGGCGACGAACAGACGTCTATTGGAGCACCATGTTTTTTTTCTCCTGGACAGTCTTGATAAACTACTATGTCGTGATGCTGTGTTGATTATCAATTTTGAGGAGCAAATACCACTGCTCTATAAGGGACTAAGATTCTTGAAAACCATTCTTATGAAGTACCCGGAGAAGTTTGATGGGCTTCATGAAAAGGTGAAGGATCTCATTCGAGCTGCGGTCAACGAAGCAGGAATCATAATTTGCCTAATTTTTTTGCACGTCTTGAAAGAAGGCTTGGCCAAGGAATTTGATTTGGCACTTCTCAACTTCGTGGAAAGATTAAGCTTGTAAAAGTATTACATCGACATTCATCCAAGAAACAATGAGCTTGGTTTTATGGATTTTCTCCTAGAAAATCTGAAAGAGCTGCCGAGTTGTGAGGTTGGTTCAATTGCTTTTGCAAAGGATCAAATTCAAACTATCCGAGAAGATCTTGCATCATTAAGATCTTTGATGGAGATCAGTGTGGACCAGAGCAACCAAGCCCTTCGGAGACGTGTCATGGAGGCGGCGCATAAGACACAGCTGACGGTTAAATCCTTGTTCATTGGAGACATTCCAGATTTTAGGTCTCCAATCATATTTGATTCCATCAGGGAAGAACTTAAAGAGATTAATCTTTCTAAGATGGAAGCCATGAACATTTGTGACAATAAGTATAGATTGGAAGCCCATAGTGTGAGCAGGACAACCAACAAAGTTCGGGTGAGGCTGGAAGATGAAGCCACAATAATTCACAAACTTACAAGAGGACAAAAGCAGTTGGGGTTTGTTTCCATTGTTGGTATGCCTGGAATAGGTAAGACGACTTTGGCCCAAAATGTTTATGATGATCCTTCAATTAGATGCGTTTTTCATATCCGTGCATGGTGTGCTGTTTCTCAGCTCTATCAGCATAAAGATGTGCTGCTTCAGATTTTGAGTTGTATTGATCCTGACCTTTTTGAGGATCAGCTACAAAGAAAAAAACACCACTCTGGTGATGAATATTCAAAGAAGAATGAAGATGAGTTGGAAGAAAAACTAAAGCAACGTTTGATGAAAATTAGGTATCTCATTGTTCTTGATGATGTGTGGAGTAGTGAGGCTTGGAATGCGTTGGAAAGATCTTTCCCAGATAATGCCAATGGAAGTAGAATCCTCTTAACCAGTCGACTTCCTATGGTGGCTTTGGAAATCAACCAGAATGTTACAATTCACCATCTTCAACGACTCACTGATAAGGAGAGTTGGGAATTACTGCAGAAGAAGCTACCTGAAGAAAAAGGCTTTCCTTTAGCGCACAGTGATCTAGGGATGCAGATAGCCAGACATTGTCAGGGTTTACCTCTCACGATTGTTACGGTAGCTGGAATTCTTGCTAGATTGGAGAAAGATGATGGTTGGATAGAGGTCGCGGAAAGACTAAGCTTAAGTGCTGTTTGTGCTACAGATCAGTGCATGGATGTATTAGAGCTGAGTTACCAGCATTTACCTGAATATCTAAAGCCATGCTTTCTCTACTTCGCAGCATTTCCCGAAGACAGAGAGATTCCCTCTTGGAGGTTAATGAGTTTATGGATCGCTGAAGGATTTGTCCAGGAAAGTGAGATAAAGAGCTTGGAGGATGTAGCTGAGGAGTACATATATGAACTGACAAGCAGAAGCTTGGTTATGGTTTCCAAAGAAAGATCCCTAGGTGGTGTTAGAACTTGCCGCATTCATGATTTGTTGCACGAGTTTTGTTTGGTAAAAGCCCAGAAAGAAAATTTTCTGCAGTTTTTACATGGAGATGATAAACTTTTCACCTTTGATGAGCCACGCAATCTGCAAAGGTTATGCATTTTTTCAGGGCAGGATATTTTTGCGGACTCAAGGCTATGCTCAACCCGTGTGAACTCTCTGATGTTCTATGCTCAGGAGGATGAGATGCTCCGAAGTGGTTTTCCTAAATTCCTATTTCTCTTTTTCAAGCGTCTGAGAGTATTGGACTTGAGACAATTTTGTCTACATGGTGAACTTCCAAGCGAGATAGAGTTGCTTTCTGAGCTGAGGTACTTGGCAATTCATCTTTCAGCCAACTCCATCCCTTCATCAGTAGGCAATCTCTCACATTAGAAACTTTTATCGTCCAAGCAGACGGAAATGTCCTACTGCCAGATACTATATGGGAATTTGAAGAAATTGAGGCGACTAGACGCAAGAAATGGTTTTACTTTTAACTGGGCTGAAGAGAACCTGGGGAGTTTACATAATTTGACAGCATTTCTGTTCTGGTTCTTAGTTCAGTACAAAGCGAAAAGATATTGGAAAAATTCCCAAACATCCGCAGACTAAAATGCAGGCTCTTCAAATATGAGGAATATAATGGAGATTGTAATAAGATTGTGGCAATGGGCTTTCTGAGCCAATTGGAATCGCTCAAGCTAGATCACCCGAGAAGGTACCATCTTGAGTTTCGTTTTCAGTTGATGAATCTAAAGAAGTTGAGTCTGTCATATTTCCATTGGAGTGAAATTCCAATGATTGGGAAACTGTGCAGTCTTGAGGTGATCAAATTAGATCGTGAAGTCTCTCCGCAGGGCACATGGGACATGGATTGATTTGTTTCCTCAGCTCAAATACTTGAAACTGGAACGGTTGCGTATATCTCGATGGAAATGCTCATCTGATCAGTTCCCGCGTCTACGGAAATTAGTCTTGGTTCAATGCTGGAGACTGAAAGAAGTCCCTTCTTGTTTTGGGGAAGTTTCAACTCTTGAAACGATTGAGGTGCACGGCTGTTCAGATTCGGTTTGTAAATTCACTTTGGGAGATTGAGGAAGAGCAAAAAGACTCTGGAAATGAGGATTTCCAGATTTTTGTTTGAGGAAGAACCAATTTGCAATCTGCTTGTGTGTTTGATCATCACAGACTGTTTCATAGGTTGGCCCAGATTTAGGTAGAGGTAACCAACATGATTACCATGTATTTTGCTCTTATATTTGATAGCGAAGACTTGTACATTTTTTTCTCCACAATGATGTGCTCAAAATCCCCTAATAGTAATAATATCGCATGAGGTGTATTTGACATGGCAAGGTTTATTTAACAGGATATGGAATATCATTGCAACACAAGATTCCATACTTTATGTAAAATTGCAATTTTACCATTTAAAGGATAATGTACGTTAACCTTCCTCAACTTTTGTATCACTGTGAAAAATTTTTGTGATTTCTAATACTTACTTGCAGTTTTCTTCTTCCGTTATTCTTTTCATTTAGATAACCCTCTGTTTTTTGAAGCACAAAGAATCCGTTATTTTAAAATCAACTGATTTTGAAATCAATAGTGGAGGTGAGTCGAGTCTGGTTTACCTGATCTTGGATTGTCCCCGCATACGAGTCGAGTGAGAAGCAGTTTGAGTTAAGACTCAATTTGACCTCGGTCAACACCGAATTCGAGTCGATCAAGTCGAGCTCGAATTCAAATTTGAGTTCAAAGATACTCAATTTGTTAGCTTGTGAGTCGGTTCGATTACATATATACATATATATATATATATACACACACACACATATATATATATATATATATTTATTTTAATAATGAAATTATATATAAATTTCTAATATTTTATTATCTCTTAAAAAATTTACTATTTTATCCATTTTTTAGCTTGAGCTCGACTCAGCTAAAATTTGAGGTTAATCTCTAAGTCGAACATATTGCGAGCTTGTCGAGTTCGAGCTCGAATTCGAGTTTAGTAAAATCAAATCGAGAATGAACTCGATTAGATTAAAATTCGATTTGATTTGATTCGTTTACAACCCTATTGCACGTGCATTATTGGCATTCGCAAGAGAACAAAAATCAAATCCCTGTATATCTTGTACACTGGCTCTGGTGTATATATATTTTTTAGCATATGTGAAGCGACAGCAAAATAGTTTACTATTCTATTCTCTGCAAGAAGTGTACAGCATTTGGTCCTATCTTTTTTCCAACAAACGTTAACAGCTTTTTATATATTAACTTGATATTACAAAATTTAATAACAAAAGGGGACTGCCCTCATTTCCTTTCTTGCTAATTCTAGCAGCTATACTGGGAAATCACATTCTTATTCTATGTCCTGGACTAGCTGTACTGCAAATTGAGCTAGTTCATGGCTGCATCTATTTTCTGCTCTATGCACAAAAGAAAAGCTACAGCTTTGAAACCATTGCCTTAACTCCTGAATATCTTCCAAAACAGTTGCAATATTGTAGTTATTTACATTGCGTGTGTTGATTTGATCCACCACTGATTTGCAGTCTGTGCAGACCTCTATTTTGGTCCACCCTGCATCTTTGGCCATCACTAATGCATTTCTTATAGCTAGTGCTTCCACCATGCTGGCTTCACTCTTTCTTTGATGTACTATCCCTTTTGCCTTCACAATTTCTCCTATCCAGTTCCTTGCTATTATGCCTTGCCTCGTTCTTATCATTCTTGCAGATATTACTGCATCAATATGCAACTTGATGACTCCTTCCTTTGATGTTTTCCTCCTGCTTTGTTGTTGTTGTTGTTGTGACATAGCAGCATTGCCTGGTTCTTCCCTTTCAGTTTCCTTTGTCAGTTCATACTCTATCCATTCTTCTTGTGCCTTCTTCACAATCTTGTTTGAGGTTGGATTGATTCTTTCAAACACCTCTTTGTTCCGAGCTTTCCAGATTTGCCATAATATGCTGATTGTGATGTTGATCCTGTATTGGCCATGGTCCATTGAGCTTGCATGCATTACTATTTCCCACCATTTCCACAAGTTGTGTTGTTGCTCTTTTATTCCCTCTCATTTGCACAAAAGAAAAACATATGTTCTATAGTTTCAAATTCTTCTCCATAGCAATCACATCTTCCATCTCCCTTTCCAGCACCATGATTCTTATGTATTTAGCTTTCATTACCTTGCTTACTAACAAATTTGGAGGTGTTCTGAATCTCCAAATTTTTTTTTTTGGCAAGGCTGTGTTGAAAGCCACTAAATTCCTAAATCCCAATCCTCCTTTTCCTTTTACTTCAGAGATTCTCTTCTTGCTTGTCCAGTGTACAGTGTTTTCCTTTTCTCCGTTACCCCACCAAAATCTAGCATTTGGTCCCCCATCCACCGGTTAAAAAAGCATCAAGACATGGAAATGTAGTGCTCCGATCACCTCAAGAAAAGTAAAGCTTGATTGATGCATTGCAGAATTGTAATTACTTCCTCCATTCCGATTATTTAGTTACATTTTGAGAATTTAACTTTTTAAAAATAGTGATCTGAAATCTGAATGTGATGTTTGTATTTTTTTAATTTAAATTTTATAAATTTAAAATTTAAAGTTTAAATTTGAATGGATAGCATCCAGATGATTAAGAAGAAGAAGATTATATTGAAAAAAAAAATTAAAATATATTTTGATTTTTTTTAACATGATAATTTTTTTAAAACGTTTTAAAATAAAAAATATGACACTCTTGATTAACGCGGTGAATGTTAGTTACTAAAATTATTTAACGGAGTCCATTTTGGGCGTGGAATCTTTAGCAATAACCGGAACTTGCGAAAGCCGGCTACTTTGTCCATTCTGGGAGTATTAAGTTACTACAATAATTTCAGTTCATTGCAAATGCCGGAACTTGCGGATCTTTTTCCAAACTTTATCTCCTTTCTAATGGAATTTGACTGAATACTCCAGTGGCAGAGTGGAATAGTCAGCATTAGCTTTAGCTGTTCAAGTTTTCATTTCAGTTTTCTCTATTCCTGCTGAAGAGCTGAGGGATCTGATCTGAAAGAGACAGAGATGGCCTCTGATATCATAGCTACAGTCTTGCTTGATCTAGAGTTGCTGGTGAAAGATTTTGGTGTAGAATATTTCAGGGTGTTGGACCTGAAGGCGGAGTTGAGACTTCTGAGGACCCTCTTTTGGTGTGCAAGAGAGTGGAACTACGATCTGTATTCCAAACCTGGTAACAACAATAATCTGGCATCTTTCTTGACTAGCCTTGAACCTGCAGTAGAGGAAAAGATTCTGGACTTGTATAATGATTGTCTTAGTGAAGAAAGATTCCGCGAACTGGGTTTGAATTCCCATTTGATCGGCCTGAAACAGGAACAGTTCTTCCCCTCGGAACAGGGAACGTACTCGTATGGTCGTTCTTGTATGGGAGAAGAAGTATTCAGCTATGATCAGGGTTTCATGGGGATGGGCAGCGATGCCTCTTTCAATCTCTTGAAGGGAAAAGATAAGTACTCTTATGGTCTCGGAGGAGAGGAGGTCTGGACTTTCGATTGGGAGTCCAAGTTTGATCACAAGGTTGGCGAAATAAGAACCACTTGCATCTACAATTCGAAGCAAGAAATCAGCCGATCCTATATCAATTTGTTGGATTACTACAATTCATTGCAAAACCATTCCAGCTGGGGCCCAAATATTATGGAATTCATCGACTTCCTGCTAGTGAATATAGAGGATGTCCAAACTTGGGTAAGAGTTGATGATCAAGATGTGCGAGATTTACTCGAAGCCCTCAAAGAGAAGGTGGCTTTCTCGAAGAACTTCATTCGCTTTGCAGAATGGCGAGGCTTTGAGTATGGGCAGTTGGAAGTTCTCTTCATGCGTTTACAAGTTGTGGCTATCGATGCAGCAGCAAGAGTCTTCCACATGTGGGCATTTTACCCATATGATTATAAAGAAGCACGGGATAATAAAATGCGGTTGATCTTTTCTGAGCTGCTACAAAAGATGGAGGCTGTTGATCCACAAATCCGTGAGACATACATCCAAGTCTTGCTATCTGGATCGCCACATGCTCGAACATTGGAGATAGAAGAGCATATACTAGGGGATTTTGTTGATTCTCTCCTATATCGGATTTGGGAAGGACTGACGCACAGTATTACTTGTGTGGTTTCTTTGGAGGATCAAATGCCAATTCTCTATGAGGGGCTCAGATTCTTGAGAACCATTCTCAAGAAGTACTTTGAGAAGTTGCCTAACAAAGTTAAGGATCTCATTCGAGCTGCTGTCAGTGAGGCAGGGATCGTAATTTGCTCACTATTTGTGCAAGGATTGAAAGAAGGATTGGCCAAGGAAATGGATTCTGCACTTGTCAACCTGCTGGGAAAGATTAAGCTTATCAAGGTAGTAACATCAGCACTTATCTTTCCTAAGACTGATGAGCTTGGCTTTATGAACTTTTTTCTACAAAATCTCAAAGATTTGCCAAGTTGTAAGGTTGATTCAAATGTTTTTGCAAGCAATGAAATTCAGACAGTACTAGATGATCTTATATCCTTGAGATCCTTGTTGGAGAATAATCTGGAAGAACGTAATCAGGATGAAAAGCTTCAAGCTCTTTCCCGTCATGCTGTAGAGGTGGCGTACAAAGCACAACTTATGATTCAATCCTTAGTGGTCGGAAATGATCCTGATTATTCTCCAATGATATTTGGTCCACTCACAGAAGAAATTAATTTTATTAAGATGGAGGCCTTGAAGCTTGGTGACAATAGGTGTAGCATGGCATCCAAAAACCTATCAGGTCTTCCGATGCTTTGCCATCACAGGGTAGAACACCAGCAATCAACAAAGCTGTGGTGAGTTTGAATGATGAGGCAAAGAAGATAATTGATCAACTTGTAAGAGGATCAAAACAGTTGGGTATCATTTCTGTTGTAGGTATGCCAGGACTAGGTAAGACTACTTTGGCCAGAAGTGTTTTTAATGATCCTTCAGTTACACGCACATTTCATAGTCATGCATGGTGCATTGTTTCTCAAGTATATACAAAGAAAGATTTGTTCTTCAGATTTTGGGATGATTGTTCCTGAACTTTCTGATCAATATCTGAACAAGAGTGAAGTCGATTTGGAGGAAGAGCTCAAAAAGCGTTTAATGAAAAAATAAGTATCTCATTGTTTTGGATGATGTCTGGGATGCTGACGCATGGAGTGGGTTGGAAAGATCGCTGCCCAATGATGCCAATGGAAGCAGGATCCTCTTAACAAGTAGACATCCTGAAGTAGCCAAAAATTAATCCTAACTGTGAGCCTCACCCCTTCGCCAACTCACTGATGATGAGAGCTGGGAACTGTTACAAAAGAGGCTATCTTGCAGGGATAGC